CAGGACAACACAGTGAAACCATGTCTTGATGGGGTGGGGGGAGATATCTGTAGAATAAAGGACCTGGGCCACAGCTGCTGTTCATCATTATCAGGGATCATTCTGAAATTATACATCAAGGATTTGCAAGAGGGCCCTATTTCATTCTGTTTTCATCTCATTTGTGTCTGATAACTGTGCCTCTCCAATGAACTTGGAAACTGAGATTATGGCATTAGTTTTCTTGAACTGTATGCATAGTAGCTATACCAGAGAACATAAATGAGGTAGTTGATGAATTATTTCCAAGCTCCCCAAGAGTAACACAACCACTAGACTGGGAATAAAGAGAAGAAGGGAGTAAAAAAAATACCTATTTTTCTGATATGGTACATCAACAGTTCTCAAGGCAGTTAAAATTAACAAGTCTATAATTACAGGAAGCATAATTCAATTTAGAAGATATTAAAAGTGGAGAAAACTGAATGTCTACTCTACCCAGGAAAATCAATACCCCATAAGGTATTTAGAAGTTAAGTCTAAAATTCTTCTGCCACATACAGCTTAATAAATGTGGGATTTGCCGGGCGGTGGTGGCGCACGCCTTTAATCCCAGCACTTGGGAGGCAGAGCCAGGCAGATCTCTGTGAGTTCCAGGCCAGCCTGGGCTACCAAGTGAGTCCCAGGAAAGGCACAGCTACACAGAGAAACCCTGTCTCGAAAAACAAAACAAAACAAAACAAAAAAAGTGGGATTTAAAGAAAATTTTCCCTCTTCAAACAGAATCTAACAAAAAGCTAGAGATTAACAAGAATAGATGATAAAAATGTTATTCTTAACAGAAAAGCCTTCCAGGAAAAGGGCTGCCATGTAGCCATTATTCCTTATGTGTCTTAGGTTAGCTATGAAAGATATCAAATGGTATGAGAGCACAGCCAGGCAGACCACATCTGGTGTTTGCGAGTAGTAATGAACATTCTTTTCCTAGTAAGGAGAGAGCTGAGAACAGTAAGTGCTCCAAGCCTGGAACCAGAATTAGAGAAGAGTTGCAAATAAGTAATGGTAAAGCATCTATGACAGTCACAGCTAAGAACAAATCAAGTTAAAAATTTAGAATGTTGTCCAACACATTTCACTATTTAAGTTAAATAAAAATAAAACTTGTACTTTTTTTTTTTTCTTTTTTTGTGGTAAGATCTCATTATGCAGCTTGGGCTGGCCTTGAATTCCTATCTGGCTGCATCTGTCTCCCGAGTGCTGGGACTAAAGGTGTGCACCACCATACCCAGCTAACTGGTATCCTCACTGCAAGATGCAGATTTACCTTAACAATGACCTCAAAATGAGGTTGGTGAGATGGCTCAGCAAGTAAAGGTGATGATGGCAACATAAGCATGACGGTCTGAGTTCAATCCCGGGAATCCACAGAAAGGTGGAAGGACTGCACAAAGTCGTGCAATGACCTCCAAACGTGCACCACGGCACAGACCCATGCCAGCTAGTCCCTCTTTTGCTCGGTCTGCCTTCCATACACACAGTTACACATACTCAAAATTTTTTAACAATTAAAATTAGGAGCTGGAGAGATGGCTCAGCGGTTAAGAGCACTGGCTGCTCTTCCAGAGGTCCTGAGTTCAATACCCAGCAACCACATGGTGGCTCACAACCATCTGTAATGAGATCTGATACCCTCTACTGTCATGCAAACATACATGCAAATAGAACACTCATATGCGTAAAATATGTAAATAAATAAATCTTTAAAAAAAAAAAGAATTAAAATTAATCACAGACTTAAACATAAAACTCAAGATGATAAAACTTCTAGAAGATATAGAAGAAAATGTAGGTGAGCCTAGACTTGGTCATCACTTTTAGATACAATACCAAAGGCTCAAGATCACAAAACAAAGGACTGATAAACTGGACTACATTCAAATTAAAAACTTCTGCTTTGTAAAAAGAAACTGCCAGATCCAGGACTGGAGAGATGGCTCAATTGGTACCAACCAGTCCTTGCCAAAACCTGACGTGAGTCAGATCCCTGAGGCTCATAAAAAGCAGATCTGGAAGCACTGACCTACAATCCCAGCGTTCCGAAGGCAAAATGGAGGAGGTAAAGACAGAGGAGCTGCCCAGAAGCTCCGGGGCAGTGGCAGAAATAAGAGAGGTTCTGCCTCCAACAAGGTGTAAGTGGTGAGAGCCAACTCCTGAATGCTGTCTTCTGACCGTGACACTGTGGCATGCATGAGCATGTAGTTATATCCACATACATACAAACACACACACATTTGGAGAGGGGAAAACTGCCAAAGGGGGAAGGACTATAGTTTGTGAGAAAATATATAGAAAAAAGAACTTCCCAAATAAAAGACTATAATCCAGGGCTAGAGAGCGGGCTCAGCAGTAAAGAGCACTGGCTGCTCTTGCAGAGGACCCAGATTCAATCCCCAGCACCCACAATGGTGGCTCATAACCATCCATAACTCCAGTCCCGGGGGATCCAATGCCCTCTTCTGGCATCTGTGGGCACCAGGTATGTACATGATACAAACATACACACAGACAAAACTTAAATACACATAAAATAAAAATAAATCTTAAAAAAAAAGACTGCTATTCATAATGAACAAAGAACTCCTGAAGGCCAATTATTAAAAAAACAAAAAACAAAAACCCGATATCCTAACCTTAACAAAAATGGGCCAAGAACCAGGGCACACTTCTCACCAAAGAGCATATTCAAATGGAAAATAAGCATGCAGAAAGACTTCTCCATCACATGCAATCAGGGAAATATAAATGACAACAGTGACATACAGATGCGTACCTATTAGAATGGCCAAAGTCTAGAAGACTGGCAGACAATATAAACTGCTGGTAAAGATACAAAGCAACAGCAACTGCCATTCACTGCAGCAGTGTGGCAGCGTCTTACAAAATGAACATACTCATCACAATGCAGCAGTCACACTCAAGACAACATGAGCCCACAGAAAAACACACAAAGTCCATAGTAGTTTTCACTCATAAATGGTAAAACATGAAGTAACAAATACATCTTTTAGTTGGTGAATGGCTATACGCAAATCATGGCAAATACTATTTAGCTCCACAAGGAAATGTACCGTAAGCCATGAAAACACATGGAGAAATGGAGCCAGTGAGGTGGTTTGGTTGGAAAACACCTTGTCACCATGCTTGATCATTGAGTTTGATCCCTAGGACTCACATGGTCAAAAGGAGAGAATCAATTCCTGTAAGATGTCCTCTGATCTGTATACAAATGTCATGGCACCAGTGCACATGTGAATGCAGGTGTGTACATGCACACACTCAGAAAAAAAATTGTAATGTAAGTTTTAAAACAATGCCCATTTAATGCCAGGCAGTGGTGGTGCATGCCTTTAATCCTAGCACCTGGGAAGCAGTGGCAGGCGGATCTCTGTGAGTTTGAGGCCAGCCTGGTCTACAGAGCGAGTTCCAGGAGAGCCAGGGCTACACAGAGAAACCCTGTCTTAAAATACAAAAAAACTAAAAATAAATAAATAAATAAAACAATGCCCATTTGAAAAGGTTCCAACTTTCTGATAGTCTCAAAAAGACAAAACTATGCAGACAGTAGAAAAGATCAGAAGTCAGCCAGAAGACTATGTAGACGGGGCAGTGAAAATATACTGTATGACATTCGTGTGCATACATGTCTTTGTAAATAATGCATCTGGTCCCAAGTTTTAGAAAGTACACTACCAAGAGTGAATTCTAGTGGAAATAGAACCTGGATGATAAGAATGTGCTAGTACACATTACCAAGTACAAGTAACAAACGTAGAAGACACATGGGACAAACCTGACTGCTAAAACGCAACTACCAAAACATAGCTTCCAGTCTACAATTTGAGCACTCAAGAGGCAGAGGCAGGATGATTAACCAACTGAATGCCAGCCCAGTCTATATATCCAATTGTAAACCAGTGCTACATGGTGAGACCCTGTTCCAAAAAGCCAAGAACATAAAGTATGTAAGCAAAAAAGCACAAAGCAACAAAACCTGATGTGAGCAAGTCTGTGCATGTGAACAAGTAGAAAGCTAATGGAAACACTGTACTTATCAAGCGGAACCTAAAAGTGTTCTCCAAAAGGACATTTTATGTGTGGATGCATGTATTTAAGTGTCTACCTTGATCGCTCTCCATGGGTTTTCTCCCTTATAGATGTATGTGTAGTGTGCATGTCAGATGTGTGCAGAGGCTTAACACTGATGTCGGTGTCTTCCTTGATCACTCTCCACTTTCTATCAAGGCAAGATCGCTCACTAAACCCTCAGCTTGTCAACTTGAGCTAGTCTAGCTAACCAGGATCATGTCTTTGCTTAAGTGCTGACTGCGATTACAGGCAGCTGTCATGCCTGCCCAACATTTACATTCTGGGACTTGAACTGTGGTCCTTATGCTTATTATATATTCCCATATTACAGCTCCCAGAATAACCCTACCAACGCACCCCGCTTTCAACTTCATGGTTTTTGGTTTTGCTTTTGATAATCCAGAAAGTCCAGTTACAAACTCTCTCTCTCTCTCTCTCTCTCTCTCTCTCTCTCTCCCAGCTCCTAAAAGCATATATATAGACATCTACATAGAGAGAGATTTATATATACATACAGATTTGTTTGTTTCATTTTGGTTTTCGAGACAGGGTTTCTCTGTGTAGCCCTGGCTGTCCTGGAATTCACTCTGTAGACAAGGCTGACCTCGAACTCACAGAGATCTGTCTGCCTGCCTCCCAGGTGCTGGGATTAAAGGCACGCGCCCCCATACCCAACTAGAAAAGTCTATTTTTGAAAATTCCTCAATCACACAGTCCAGAAGGTCCACGAAGCTGGTGGCTGCTGCACTGTGTCCAGCAGGTGAAATGCAGACGCTTCCGCCCCTGCAGGCAACCAGGCAGAGCACTATGCTAAAGGGAAAGAGGAGGCGGATGGTCGAGAGCGAGAAGGCACTGCCCTGCAGCAGTGGGATTACCTTTCCTCTTCCACCTGCTCTTTCTCCCCTCTTTGTGGCTGCCGCCATCACTGCTGCTGCTGTTCTCAGAGCTCTGAGAATCTGACTGACCATCACTGCTTTCTTCTGAACCTTCTGACAGCTCTTTCACTCCATCTGGCACATCTTTCTGAAAATGTAGGCATCCTGTTAGGATTATTACCATTTTAGCAAATCGAAACTAAATTTCTAGTATGTAACGCAGTAACTTAACTGATTAATTTTTACTATTATAAAATAGTAAAACCACCAATATTAGCTGAAATCCTGAAACTTCCCTGTTTTGGGGTCAAATAAGTTAATTTTCCATCTACATCCAGAAGATAAAAATTATACACAACATTCATATGCAGATACCACATATGTTTAAATTACACCAAAACTGGTAACTATAAATCCAGGTAAAAGACGTCATGTTCAGGTTTAAAAAGCTAATAATAATTTTGTTAGACATATTTGTGTGTGTGTTGGGGGGGGAGTTGCCCTATGTATTCTGAATTCAATTCTAGAATTAAAGTCAGGAGAACAAGATTATCACATTATTTTCACCTAACTGGGTCCTCAATATTGATTAATGAGTAGCAGCAAGAAAAGGAGTTTTTGTTTTGTTATTTGGTTTTTTGAGACAGGGTTTCTCTGTGTAACAGCTCTGGCTGTCCTGGAACTCTCTTTTGTAGACCAGGATGGCCTTGAACTCACAGAGATCCAACTACCTCTGCCTCCCGAGTGCTTTAAAGGTGGGCAATTAAAGGTGTGTGCCACCACTGCCCAGCCTGTTGTTTGTTTTTTAAAGAATCACATCAATCTCTTTAGTTTCAGCTCTGAATAATGAGAATATTAACTAGACAGCATAACTGTGACCATTTAATATGAGCAAAGAGTAGGAGCATATGAAAGGCTAGTGATGTAGGGCTTTCTGGCTTTATCTTCTCCCAATTACACAGCCTTAGTCTCAATCTCTTATACCTAATTTCAGTGTCTAAGGTGGGGTAATAGTACCTACCTTAAAAGAGCACATACAAATTAAATGAGCTAATTAATATTAAATGTTCACAACATAGCCTTTATGAGAGCTCAATATTAGTTACTATGTGTTTACATAGTACAAAAAGCTTATACAAATAAATGGATAAATGAATGTTATTTCTCTTATGGATTTTCTTTCCATCAATACTTTGTTATCCCATATAATTATTTTTATACTCACATTAAAAAATGAACCAACAAACACACAAAAAAATTGCCCTCCATCTAACTGGCACCACATGACATCTACCCAAGGCCATTAAGTCCAAATGAGCAAGAACAGTATTTTTCTACTTAAATTTTTCTCTCTAATCCATCTCTTATGTTATACACTTTCTTAAAATACAGACCCCATATTTTTATATTCCTTCTTTCAAAATGCAGGACAGCTTTTATAGAGTTAGTTGCCAGCCAGACATCTTGACCTGTAGGTTCAACAAGTATCTGAAATACAAATATAATTATCTTCTTTTTGCAAAAAACTTGTGATCCCCTTGGGATCAACGGCTCATGCCCCAAATCTTAGACTCTTTTCTCACCCACTGTTTTACACATACCAAATGCAATGTGCTCTATGCCTCAAATGTCTCTTACATCTACCTATTTTACTACTCTGAGTTCCTACACCAAACTGTAATCTCCTTTTCATAAAAATCATAACACATAGATCTGATCACATAGTTCTCTCTGAAGACCTCTGCCATCTATTTATTCAATACCCCACCCAAACACAGAACTCAGTCAGGGTAAAACTTTGTTAACTAATATTTATCCATTATCCCAACTACAGTGATTATCACTTAACCCAATTTCCTCTACTTTCAAATCTATCCAGAATTTTATCTGTCCCTTCATTTGAGCTACTTATCCTTGAAGGCCTTCACTCTTCTTATGTGTATGTTCAAGTCCAGCTTAAATCTTACAAGTAAATAACACAAACTTTCTAAACCCCTTTATTCAAAACTAATCTTTATTTTGCGTCATTATAATGGTAGAGTTTCACAATATATTTTGTAAATATGAAAATTTTAATAACTAAAATGTGAGCATTAAAGAGATCAAGAACTACAGATTATCCATCTTAGTCTCTTTATTTCTGGCATAGACTTGACAATATGATATAAGACAAACATTATTTGAACTCTTAGTTTTTTTCTTTAAAGGTTTTATTTATTTTATGTATGAGAGTTTTGCATGCATGTACACACACCCATGTGTGTGCAGTGCCTGTAGAGGCCAGAAGAGGGCATCAGGCTAGAAACTGAATCTCGTTCCTCTGTAACATCAGCAAGTACTCTTAACTGCTGACTACAGTGAACTCTGAGCTCTTGCTACAGAGCTCTGCTGAAACTTTTGTACTTTCCTGATCAACAACAGATTAGGAAAACCTATTGTTCTGCTATTTGGTCTTTGACTCTAGTTCTGAAAACATGAAACCTAAGTGAGTTAGCACCTCCTGAGTGATAATTAGATCGTCTGTTTAGATAATTCTTTGTTGGCTCGGAATGGCCTGCCTCAGAGTGGGGACTGACTACTAAGAGAGACAATTATGTGATTAGAAAATTGCAACTTTTAGCCCATTTTCTCAAGAATGAAGGTTGAGTTGATGGCCAATGACAAAAATCACACTCATATCACACATCCTCCATAAAAACTCTAAAGACCAGGGGTTTGGATGAGCTTGCACATGGCTAAAATCTGTGCCTGGAGACTAGTATGCCAAGATAGATTCCATACTCAGTGGCCACACCTCACTTCATGAACGTCTTTTATCTAATTTACAATAAATAGAAAACTCAAAGATGTTTTTTTTCTCTAACATCTTTTGTAAGCAGTCCTAGAGCTTAGGTCTCATCTAAAGACTTGTAACTAATAGCTAAAGTGAAGGGTAACCTTTAGTACTGGGCCCTTAGGCTGGCACAATAACCAAACAGTAAAAACTGAGTTAAATTAAAAGGCACCTAGCTGTTTTCAGTTGGAGAACTGCTTGATATATGGGAGAAACCCCCGAACACCTGGTATCAGAAGAACTGTACTAAGTGGTATGTAATAACAGAAAATACATTTTGAAGATTTCTTTCCCTATTTCTCCAACACAGTATGCATTTAATGAATGCAATTAAAATCATGGAAGATCTAGAATAGCTAAAATATCAAAACGAGATAGTGAAAGCTTCATTTAGAGCTAAAGTCCCATAACATCCACAAGTTAAACACTGCAGACAGTCGGAAGTTAAGATTAAAAGGCAGAATAGGGTTGTGCTATATATATTGCACAGATTAGCCATGAGCTCACTATATAGGTCAGGGTGATCTAGAACTGGACACAACCTTTTACCTTAGTCTCCTGAGTACTATGATTGATAACCATATGCCACCACATCAAGCTGCTAGATGTGGGATTTGTTCCTCTTTTGCTTTGTTTTGAGACAGGATCTCACTGGCTTTCCTGCCTAGAATTCAGAGATACCTACATCTGCCTCCAGAGTGCTGGGATTAAAGGCATGCACGGCCATCAAACCTAGGTGTTCATTTGTTGTGTTTTGTTTTAAGTTATTTAGTGTGCAACTATGGGCACCTGTGTGCCATAGCACACATACGAAAGTTAGAGGACAACTTGTAGGAGTTGGTTCTCTCCTTCATTTTTATGTGCCCAAGGAATCAAAAACAGGTTGTCAGTGCCTTCACATGCTGAACCATCTCAGCACCTCAGGTCAGATGCTCTTAATGTTAGTGGACTCAATACTACCACTGAGCATTGTGATGAGCTCAGAGATAGGAGGTAGTGGGACAGAGGTCTCTATGGATATGTCACTTTGGGTACAACAGTCTGTCAAACAGTCATTCTGGTTTGCTGATAAACTTGCTTTGAGAAACAAGCCCTCTCCTTAATTATCAGGCTGTCACAAGCTGAACTACAACCCCACATCAAGGATGACAATGATTCTACATTTGTCAACAGCCGTAATTCATGTACGGTGTCACATGGGTCAGTCAATCTGAGTGAGGTGGAGCCTCTGCTTTAGTCTCTGGACTCCTGTCTCTAGACTTACAGTCTGTAGAACGGAGACTCGGACTGAATTCATAGATGACGAGGAGAGGCTGACTGAGAACAAGGTAAAAGAAAGAACAGAGACCAACACCAGATGACATCTTTTGATCAGCTGGACTCAGCCTAGATTTCCCCAGCCTGGATTTCCCATGAATGTTTAGTTTAGCTGTATGAGTTCACAAATTTTCCAGCCTATTTACTAAGCTCATTTACATTGGTTTTCCTACTCATAAGTGAGAGGATATTGACGAGAAAAGGTCACCACTTCAGTGTACAAATGAGATATTAGCCAGCTTGTTATGGAAGAAGAAATGTGGGTGTTGAATCGGATCAAAGTTCCTATTCCTGTTCTGATACAATATGGCCAACATTGGTCAGGAATTACATCTTTCAAACTTTACTTTTTTCCATTATTAAAAAAGGAATAAGGGATTGGGGATTTAGCTCAGTGGTAGAGTGCTTGCCTAGCAAGTGCAAGGCCCTGGGTTCGGTCCTCTGCTCTGAAAGAAAAAGGAAAAAAAAAAAAAAAAAAGAATAACCATAACTAAGTTTTAGTGGGGAGATCCATGAATAAAGAAAAGAATCTATGGCCGGGCGGTGGTGGCGCACGCCTTTAATCCCAGCACTCGGGAGGCAGAGCCAGGCGGATCTCTGTGAGTTCGAGGCCAGCCTAGTCTCCAAAGCGAGTTCCAGGAAAGGCGCAAAGCTACACAGAGAAACCCTGTCTCGAAAAACCAAAAAAAAAAAAAAAAAAAAAAGAAAAGAATCTATGGCTCTACGCAGTCGGTTTTAAAAAAAAAATCCTCAATTTGTAATTGAAATATTTTGAAGTTCTTTAAAATAAGAAACAGGGGCTAGAGAAAGGGCTCAGCAGTTAACACTGACAGCTGCTCTTCCTTCCAGAGGACCTCAGGTTCAATTCTCAGTACCCACGGAGTCACTAGCAACCATCGGGAACTCTAGTTCCAGGGAATGAAACACCCTCTTCTGGCATCCATGAGTATTGCATGTATGTGGTACAAAGACACACACGCAGGCAAGACACGGATACACATACATCTCAAAAAAAAAAAATATGTTAAATAAAAATATATACAAAAGGTGCCTTCTTAGTATTCATGAGGCCCTGCATTCAATTCCCAGAACATCCCCTCCCTCTCCCAAATTTATTTACTTACTTATTTTAGGGTTGAAATATTATTTCTTCCTGGAAATAAGTTCTTCAAGAACAGAATTCTGTCTCTGTGACTCGATTATTATACACTGTAACTTACTCTCTCTTGGCTCCCCAGCAACTTACCTTCAAAGTATATACTCCCATTCTACCTGGGACTTTATAGAAGATGCCCTCTTCACCTCGGGAGTTTGTGTGGAGCATTGCATTTAAGCAAGCAAGAGGGGAAGTCCCACTACAAAGCAAAGAAGGTGAAGAGCATGGTGATTAGTTTATCTCTGAATATTCTTTGTAATTCTGGCTTAATTCTTTAATTGATCAATATTCCTATTTGTAAATAAATTTCTGCTAACTGTAAAAAATACCAATATAGAAAGATATTGCCATGAAAAAAAATGAATGGAAAATTCATCTTTGAGTATCTAAAGGGGAAAAAAATCCGTAATCTAACACTTAAGTAAAAGAAAAACAAAAAATCAACATAGAACAATATCAAATTTATTTTGCAAAACTACTTTATTTACACACAAAACTTTGTAAGTATAATTAAAGTGGAAAGCATGCGCGCGCGCGCACACACGCGCACACACACACACACACACACACACACACACACACACACACACAGATTCAAATAAATCTCCAACCTCTTGTGTGCTGCTGCTGCACTAAACTAAATCTGATTTGCAAACAAAACTGCCATGGTTTCTTGTACTTAAGCTTCGCAGGAGATCACTTTAAAGACATTTTACAGACTTATTTTGCATAGATTAGCTTTCTTTCCCATTTTCTGAAATTTTAAGTGCATCATAATTTATTATGTAGATGAAAAAAGTTTTTTGAGTGGGGCATGATGGCACACAACTATAACCCCAGAATTTAGGAGACTGAGGCAAAAGAATCCCAAGTTCAATGCCATTCTCTACTATAAAGCAAGCTCCTAAGGGAAAAAATTCATTTCCAAGTGTCATCAGACTTCACTGTGCTCTCAAAAAAAAGGCAATAAAATTCACTAACAGGCATCCTTACCTTGGTCTGTCACTACATTAAGGAAATGGAACTGGGATTGCAGAGATAAGACCACTGGCTGCTCTTCCAGGACCAGGGTTCAATTCCCAACACCCACATGGCCACTAACAACTGTTTGTAATTCCAGTTCCAGGGAAATCCAACATGTTCACACAGACACACATGCATGTAAAACACCAATGCACATAAAATAAAAAGTAAGTAATTTTTAAAAAGGAAAGAAAATGAGGCTAATATTCTACCATAAGTCTAATGTTAAGCACTTCTACATTAAGAAACAGGAAGGCATAGTAACTGCATGACTTTAATCCCAGAACTAGGGAGACAGAGGCAGGGTTCAAGGCCAGCCTGCTCTACAATCAGTACTACACAGAGAAACCCTGTCTCAAGAAACCAAAAAATAAAAAATAAAAAAAATAAAGAAACAGGAAAGAGAAGTACAAGCAATGCATTTTTAAGCATAAAACCACATCGTGGTGATATTTTATCTGTGTCCCCCAGTAAAATAAAGCTTGCCTGGAGATCAGAGGAAGGCCAGCCACTATGTAAACACAAAAGTCATGCAATGTTAGCACACATTAATCTATCTGGATCTCTGTGAGTTCAAGGTCACACTAGAGAACAGAGCCAAGTGTGGTTACACACGCCTTTAATCCCAGCACCAACCATAGAGGTCTGGAGGTCTATACAGACAGACAGGAAGTGACAGAGTTGGGCAGGCTGGGCTGAGAGAGCCAATTAGAGAACAGAACAGAAAAGGCATATAAGTCTGCTTAGACTGGAAGTCGCTCTCTTTGGAGGCTGGCAGCTGTTCCTATCCCTCTGATCTCTGTCAGATTTTCGCCCCTATTTCTGGCTCTGTGTTTTTATTTAATAAGACCGTTTAGAAACTCATTTACACCACACACTTTAAAAAGTATACCTGAGCATGGTGATTCACACATATAATCAAGCCTCTAGAGCAGTGGTTCTCAACCTTCCCAATGCTGCAACCCTTTAATACAGTTCCTCATGTTGTGGTGACCCCCAACCACAAAATTATTTTCACTGCTCCATCCTAACTGTCATTTTACTACTGTTATGAATTGCAGTGTAAACATCTGTGTTTTCCAATGGTCTTAGGTGACTCATAAGAAAGGGTCGTTCAAATCCTCACATTGAGAACTGCTGCTCTCGAGACTGAGGCAGGATGAAAACAAGTTCTATGTTAGCCTGAACTACAGAGTAAAGACCTGGAAAACAAAAACAACAACAAAAGGGGGTATGTTATAAAATATCGAATTATAGAGGCTAGAAAGCTGGCTCAGTAGTTTAGAATATTTGTTGCTCCTGCAGTGTACCCAAGTTCAATTTCCAGCACCCATATAGAGGCTCACAATGATCTATAACTCACGTTCAAGAAGATCCAATGCCCCCGTCTAAACTCTGCAAACACCAAGCATGCATGTGGTGCAAATACACACACACAAGCCAAATATTGATACATGCTAGGCATGGCAGCACACACCTTTAATCCCAGCGCTCGGGAGGCAGAGGTAGGCAGATTGTGATTTCGAGGTCAGTCTGGTCTACAAAGTGAGTTCCAAGACAGCCAGGTCTACACAGAGAAACCCTGTCTCAAAAACAAAAACAAACAAACCAAAAAGAGGCAAACCTGCTCTGCATAATGATTATCAGGCCAACCAGAGGTATATTGTGAAATTCTGCCTCAAACACAAACACATTCATACACATAAAATTTTTTAAGTCTTTTAAAAGTCAAATTATAGACTGACTACCAAAAAGGAATAAAATTGTATGTTCTCAGATGATTAAGCCTTTTTTCAACAGAAAAAAGCTAAGAAATAGCTATTAAAATAAAAGCTTCAAGCTGGATGGTGAACACGCCTTTAACCATAACACTCAGGAGGTAGAGGCAGATTCTCTGAGTTCAAGGCCAGCCTGGTCTGCAGGGGGAGTTCCAGGACAGCCAGGGCTACAAAGAAAAACCCTGTTTTGAAAAAACAAAACAAAACAAACAAACAAAAGCTTCAAATTAAGAACAGTAAATATAGGATATAAAATGATAGAAAATATTACTAAAAATCAAGTGTTAGTCTAAGGTCAAGGACTACAGTATTAAAGAAAGCACACTAATCCTTTTGTGTATGATTGGTAGGGTTTTTGTTTTTGTTTTAGGACAGAATCCTCACAGGTCTGAAGTGGCGTGGAACTCTAGATGTAGCCCATGCTGGCATCAAACTCACTGCAATCTTTCTAGTTCAATCTCTCAAGCATTAGAATTACAGGTATAGGATCTATGCATAACATTGGGCGCTGCAACTCTTAAAGCAACATGTTCCTGTATCTAGAAAAACAGAAGTAACAAGAAAGCACGGTGGAAGTTCATATGGAAAGAAGTCAGGGGATGGTCTGGAGTCTGACTACAGCTCCCTAATGTAGTTTTGTTTGTTTTTCACAATTATTAAGGGGCAAAACAACTTAACTGGACATTCTCAACTCATCTTCCTCTCAGTTCTCTGCTGGTGATACTCAAAACCCTAAACCAAATCTACTACAGAGACCACAAGCAACATGGACAGAAGTAGAGGACTGACATTAAGAAAGGCAGAGGCAGGTGGATCTCTGTGAGTTCGAGGCCAGCCTGGTCTACAGAGTGAGTTCCAGGACAGCCAGGGCTACACAGAGAAACCCTGTCTCAAAAAACCAAAATGTAGACAGAAGAAAAGAAGAAAGGCAGATCTCGGGCTGGAGAGATGGCTCAGCAATTAAGAGCACTGGCTGTTCTTCCAGAGCACTTGGGTTCAATTCCCAGCACCCACATGGCATCTCACAATTGCCTGTAACTCCACCTCCAGGGGATCCAACACTCTCACACAAACATACATACAGGCAATGCACATAAAAATAAAAATAAATAAATCATTAAAATAAAAAAAGGCAGATCACTGGAGATCACTGGCCAGCTAGTCTAGCCAAACGGAAGAGTTAATGACTCTTCTGGGGGAAGGTAGGTGGGGGAAAGGGTAGCAAAATATACTTGATGTCCACTTCTGACCACCACAACACACTAATAAATACCAATAAAAATAAATAAATCACAAAGTATCCTGGATGTCTCTAACGGGCCTGTGTTCATTCTTTTTATGAACTGTGATAATGTGGCATATCAAAATGCAGAGAGAAAGCCGCAACACAAAGGGTGCTACGATTAAAGGCATGTGCCACAAAGCCCAGCTGAAACTGTTACACACACACACACACACACACACACACACACACACACACACACACACCTCCTTGTTCAAAGGTTGGCAGAGTACTCGACTATCATGCCTTGTGAGGCCCCTGGGTTCAATCCCTATTACCAAGGAGGCAAAGTAAGATCCTTGCCCAATCGCCTACCTTTCACACAAAAGTGAGGCAAAAATGAGTTTACGTCCTATCATAACTAGCTATGCAATTCTTTCCTGTTTCACTGTCTATGAGACAAAGATGCTAAGAGTTTAGTAAACATAATACATGTGAAATATCTAACTCCCATCTTAGCCAAGGTCATTTCAAATACTAGTTCATTATAACACCTAACTTTTAAATCTTATAAACAGGTCGTAAAAATAAAAATTAGCTTTGAGAGAAACAGAATGCTTCTTCGTTTCTGTAATAAAAGTACTAACTACCTATCTATTTACTATCTTATTATAGATGATTAGGACTCCTAAAGTTTTTTTTGTTTTTTCCTGGAGACAGGGTTTCTCTGTGTAGCCCTGGCTGTCCTGGAACTCACAGATCCGCATGCCTCTGCCTTCCAAGTTCTGGGACCAAAAAGGCTTGCTCCAACCCTGCCCAGCTGGGATGCTTAAAGTTCTTAACAGCTGGACCAAATCCCAAACAGTGTTTGTATCCAAACTAAGTACAAAAGGTTACACAAGATCTTATGATTCCAGGTAAAAGGAATGCCAACATGAACACAGAAACTGAAGCCCAGAATCTCTGTGAAGAAAATAAACTATGGGTATAATTATACAAGAACTGAACTGGAGACAATAAAAACACAGAAATCAGATAAAATTTTATATCACTGTCCTTATTGGGTAATTATTGCTCATTTAGCAATGCAATTTTGTATCTTATAGCTAGTGCTGTTGTAATTGCTTTAGGCTTTTTTATAAAAACTACTTTTTAGAAACTGAACTGGGTCCTCTG